TTGTTCTGCATGTTTGAAAGAATAAATCAAATCAAATCAAACGCATGGCTTTATTTTACTTGAATAGTTGGTGTTTGACAGGTAAATGTCACTCGTACAGGCATAGAAAATTGTAATCTCTCTCTGTGGTGCAAAACGCAGCACATTACTGTTGGAGTTTAGCAAAATCCCTGTAGGGTGGGCTAGACACAGTACATGTAAAATCAGGCATGATTCTGTGAATTAAAATGTATTTCTGCTTTTTCCCCCATTTACAGCTCTGACAATGACTTGGAACCAACTGAAGGTAAATTAAGTAACACTGAAGATGCATGCTGAACTGTTTTCTTCTTTGCTATGTTAGAGTGAGAGAAGGTGCTGTTTTTTGAAAACCTTTCAATTTATTATATAGAGCAGGATGTAAAGTTGATCTTGTAACATTCTGATATATCCATTCAGAACACCTGCAACCTGGAATATGTTGTGTTTTTTTCTGCAGTGGCCGGTATTCCTGTAGTGACACAGGAAGCTTTAGATGGGATGCTGCATTTGCCTGAAGTGGTCCATCGACGGATCCAACTCAGCACAAACCCTGCAGAGAATCAGCTGCAGCGGAGCGAGTTCTACTATGAACAGGTCTGGTACTGCACTTTGTGGTATTGCAAGCCAAAAAAATGTGTTTATTTTTCTGGATACTGTAGACAGAACTCTGTGCTGTTAATCAGTTGGATTCTAGTAATATTAACCCATTAAATGCAGTTTGACTAAAGATGTTCTTTTGCTAAACCCCCTAGGCTCCCAGTGCATACCTCTGCGTTGCCATTTTATCTCTGCACAGTGACCAAACAGCCTGTGGTCATCAGCTCATCAAACACTGTCGCGCTTTGTCTTGTAAACTGACCAATCCGGAGGTCGATGCCTGCCTTCTGACAGATGTCATGCGGCAGCTGCTGTTCAGTGCCAAGCTGATGTTTGTTAAAGTTGGCCGCAGCCAGGATCTCGCCTTGTGTGACAGGTGAGATGTAACCCAAGTCACTATGATGCAAGCACTTTGTAACATTTGTGTGGGTGTTTTTTAAGGACAGTGAATTATTTAGGCCAAGGGAGAGTTTGAAGAGTGAGAGCTTGTTATTGGACACAGCTCTTCAGGGACTTATGTGAAAATGTAAGTTTCTATGAACATACAAGTCATAAACTGTCCTGCAAGCAAAAGCAGGAAACAAAGGACTGAGGGAGCTGTCGACAAAGTGCACTCTGTACAGAGTTTTCACGACTTTTTATAAGTGTGAACACTTGTGTGGGTGGGGTACAGGTGTGTAGAGGCTTTAAAGCTGTATTAATATGTAGGCCCTTTTCACAGGAGACATTTCAACGTGTCACAGTAGAAAAAGCACAGGTATACATAATAAATGATAGCTACATTCCATGATTTAACGTTGTTCAAAAGAAACTGTGCTTATTTTAGCTTTAGTTGGCAGATATGTTTCAGCCATAAGAAGAATGTCATGGGATGTCGCTGCGTAATTACCGTTTGTCTCATACACTGATTTTTCAGTTTTGCTCCCTCTCTTTCTCAACAGCTACATCAGTAAAGTAGACGTGCTTAAGATTCTAGTGACAGCCAATTACAAATATATTCCTTCTCTGGATGATATTCTGGAGACCTCTGCCGTCACACGCCTTCGTAACCAGCTGCTGGAAGCGGAGCACTACCAGCTAGCAGTGGAGGTGAGTCTGATGGTGGTTTATTTTATTGAAACAATATTTATTTGTTAGCACAAAAAACATTAACACACACTACCTACAGTCCACCTGCAGTTCATGGGGAGTTAAAAGCAAACACCAAAAAGTGTGATTAATAGGCCAAATCAAAATGTGTTGCACGTGCCAAGATTTTCAAATAGCTGGTGAAGTCTTGATTCTAATAACCCAATGGTTCTCAGATTTTATACAGCGGCTCTCTGCTATTAACCTTGCTTGTTGATGTGTGGGTGTTTTTTTTAGCAAGTAGACCAGTCTGTTCCAGTCTTTACACAGAGAAAATGATTTGAAATCAGGAGTTTGTCTGAATTTTAAACACACGTTACTGCTGCTGCATCAGATACACAGTATGTTACCTATGTATTGATGTTTCCAGTTGACCATGAAGGCAGACACCAAACTTTTATTTTAATTGTTGCTGCTTGTGTTGTTGCTTTGCTAGGTGTCTACAAAGAGCGGGCTGGACCCAGGCGGCGTGTGGCAGGCATGGGGGATGGCCTTGCTGAAGGCAGGGAACCTTTCAGGAGCAAGGGAGATGTTTCCCCGGTGCCTGAAGGCTCCAGTGGACCGCAGCCAGCTCAACCTGGGTCCCTTACTGCTACAGGAGATTGTCCAGCACCTGGAGACGACTGTACAACCCACTTTGTCCACGGTAGGAAGACACTGTTTATTGAGGCATTATTGTCTAGCCTGCGCTGTTGCTGCAGTGGTAGGCGTGCTACTGATTAAGGTCCCTGTTAGAGCCCATACAGAGGCAGAAATGTGCTTGGGTTTAACATGCTCTCCTTTAGCAATGTAATTTCATCTGCATGAGCATTACACTTGTAAAACAAGATAGATGTGTCTTAACTTTAATCTGAACTCACTAATGTTTCTGCATTGTATAAAGGTTTTTGTACAAGAAAAGGACAAAACACAAATATAATGTATGTGCATGAATTAGTTAAGTTTCTTCTATGTAGGCACAAAAAATAACAACAAACCCAAATCCACTGAAAAAACTATAACCATATAAACACATTTTCTCCCAACAGTGTCATTTTCTAACAACACAGAGTAGAGGTTAAGTGGAGTCACTCTGGTGTGCACAGTCTGATTGCATAAGACCACTGGTCCTGGTATGTGACACCTTAGGAATCTTAGATGTATCATTTGGTGCCAGGGCTTCTTCACATTGAGAGTAAGCTAGTAAAATCAAGCATTTCAAGCACGTGTGCCACTTGAACTAGAATGTGTGGTGTCTGTTGGCCTGGTTCTGTATTCTTCAGAGACTGCTGTTTATGATTCACTGACACCTGTTCTATCTGACCTTTTTACTTATACACCATGTATTTTTGTATACTTGCTCATGTGCACATACAGTATATGTCTGAAAACTGCAGTTTCCCTCTGGGACTGATAAACTATCTGTCTGTACCAGTCTTTTGGTGAGGACATCTTGGCATCCTTGCGGGAGCTGGAGGACGCCATGAGTGACTCTGGTCCCGTGGAGCGACCAGAGGGACAGAGACAGAGCAGCATCCTCCACCAGGAGTGTCTCTACTACCTGAACTCATATGGCACTCACCTGGCCCTGATCAGCTTCTACATGCGTCATAACTGCATGACTGAGGCCCTGACGTACCTACTCAACAAGGTGAGGCTTGCATTATTGGATTTAGAGTGGAGACATTCAGCTGACCCCTTTATCTTTAGAGATTATGAGGATGATTAAGCCAAGGTTTTCATTTCAAAGTGTGTTCAGTAATTTGTTTCTATTTGGTAAAGCCAGAACAAGAAATTTCACCGAAAAATCCTTAAGGACATTGTGGGGCAGTTTGTTAGCAGTAGGATGTGAAGTTATCCAAAGTCTGTCCAGTGAACATGCTGTAATCAAAGTTGCCAGTTTGGATTTGGAAACAATGTAGTGAAATAACACTTACGTACACAGTTTTGTACCAAAGAAATAAGCTGTCAGGCTGATCAGATCCTTTAAAGGGATCATCAGGTAGCTGTTCATTAAGTGTGTTGCTCAACTACAGAAAGGTTTAAAAGCTCACCACTGATAAAATGTAAGTACGACACAGTCACCATGACTTGTCTAAGACTGTGTTCACACTGTGGGCTGAAGTGGCTCAAATCCGATTCTTTTTTTGACCGAATGTGATCCAGATCAGATTTTTATGGCAGTTTGAAGCGTATGGAGCACACGGATGTGGATCTTTTCCAGTTCCGATTTGGGCCACTTCAGTATGTGGTTCTAAATCTGATACAGATCGGAGTTTTTAAAATCTGACCTCAGTCTGAACAGCAATGTGACTCGAATGCGACTTTCACGTCAGTCTCGAGTCATAATATGCACTGGCGGGAAGCTGTAATGACACCATACGCTCTCCTTCTCTTCAATCTTTTTGTATTCATAATCAGCTTCAGCATTTGCCTAGTTCTTTTACACAGTACCTGTGCATGTGCACAGACTCACATTTGTGACCTCCATACTACAGACTTGTTCACATCCACGAATGACGATGCGATGTTTTGTTGTTGTTCTGTGTTGCGTCAGGGCCATGTTCAGTTCACACTGGAGTCCAATCTTGGCCACATTTTGAAAGATTATGTGAATAGCTGCAGAAAAAAAATTGGTACTGAGCACTTAGACTCACCGCGTGAAACAACTGCTGCATGTGCCATTGCTTCTAATTTGACCGGGTTTGACGTGTGTTTTCCCCTTTATCATGGCTCAGGACTGCCCAGAGGAGGTGTTTCTGGAGGGTGTGTTGCAGCCCAGTTTGGAGCAGGGGCGTCTTGGCATGCTGCAGGGGATACTAGAAAAACTGGACCCTGGCCTGGAGGCGTGCAGCCGCTACCTCATTGCCTCCTGCCAATTTCTGCAGCGGCGGAAATACTTTCACACACTTTACCAGCTCCAGCAGTTTATGATGGTTGGAATCTTTTCATGTTTTACTTTTTTCGTGATCACTTAAGAGTATTATTATACAGTTTTTTTGAAAGTAAAAAGAAAGATTGGTGACAAAGCAAAAGGGATAAAATGCAACAAAGTTTTGAAAACAGGAATCGGAGGTTAAGAATCTGTGCTTCAGCCAGTTGACTATTAGCAAACCTTAAAATCAGACAGCCCTTCATGTTTCTGTATTAATGTCTGAAAAGGAATGCCCCTGTGGCCTAGTGGTTAAGATGCACACCACAGCAAATCACTGATTAAATCATTGGTCCTCTCTAATGCAGAGTATTATCTATGAGAGAGAAGTTTGGAAAATTAATTTAGTGTTGCAGTGCTTTGTATTTTTCTTATTTTTTACTCCAGCAGTTATTTCATATGCCATTAGATTCTTCTTTGTAGGGGTTCTGAACCCCAGGTAGAAAACAACAATACAAAGAATTCATATTGGTTTTAAGTTTATAAATATGCCTCATACGTTGATGTGATGACATTCTATTTCTGACAGTCAAATAATACTTTTTTCACTACTATGTAAAATGCTCTTTACTTGGACAGGATCATGTGCGTGCGGCTATGACCTGTATCCGATTCTTCACACATGGAGCTGGTTCATACCTACAACTAGGAGAACAGCAGGTACATGACTTTATTTTTATTCCCCACAGTTGGCAGAACTTTGTAAAAATGTCCCTGCTCATATGAGAAAGTTTAATTTGCCTCTTACCTTATCCTTGACCTTGGCTATGCACAGCGCTGGTTGGTCAGAGCCAAAGAACACCTGAGGACATACCTGCAGGAGCAGCAAGGTCGGGGCAGTGGGAGGAGGAAGTCTCAGGTCAACTCATTAAGGAAGATGATGTCGTCCAGTGACGTGTCCAGGTTTTTAAAGATAACCTTATTTCAGTTTTACAGGATGGAAGAAAATCTGATTGTGTGCTTTTTTTTTTTTTTTTTTAAATCGTATGAACCTCTCCATATTTGCATTAGGCACATGAATACAATTGAGCTCCAGCTGGAGGTGACCCGTTTCCTCCATCGCTGTGAGACAGCTGGCACCTCCAAGGCTCCACAGACCAGTACACCTTCCTCCAAGTCCCCAGGATCTAGTTCACCGCCTACACTGTTTGGGGGAAATCCCATGAAGATTGAGGTTGCCTGTAAGGTGAGATTTCAGCTGTGATCGTCCCAGTACTAAACTTTCATGTACTTAATAATCTATAATGATAGGTTAAGGTTGTTAAAATGCCTCACAACACCATGACTGACTTTAATCCAGAATTTTAACATATAAATAAAGGTGTGGTTGCTTTAAAAATATTATGCTTAAACTGTAGACAGAAGAGCTGTAACCTGTGACAGGGAAACATCAGTTGTATATGTATATGCTGTAAGGCCACGAAGTACAATGATTATGTAATCTACACCTAATTTTCATTATTGCAGGTCATGCTTGGAGGAAAAAACATAGAAGAAGGCTTTGGCATTGCATACAGAGTCATACAAGTATGTTCATATATGAAATGACTAAATTCTTTTATGTCAGCATAATGGATTTGTCAGCATGTATATCATTTACTCACCAGATTTTTACTGAATCTTGGCCACCTCTTCTGCGCTCTGTGACAAATTTTCCACTAAGTTTCATGCAAATCTATTCAAAACCGTTTTGATCTATTAAATAATTAAATCAAAGCAAAAACAATACTTTGAATATACCTAAGCAAGTCAAGTGAATCTTATTTGCATTGTCCAAAATGACACATTTGCTTCAAAGGGCAAACAACATATGGATTTCATTTAAAAACTGAACGTGCTGGCCTCTCTTTCTACCTCCTTCTGCTTCAGGATTTCCAGCTGGAGGCCCAGACTGTGTATGTGCGGGCTGGCCAGAGGCTTGTCCGACAGAGGCAGTATGGAGCCGTAAGGCAGCTGCTCAAATGTGTGAGCGAATCAGGCACCGCCACCAAAAACGACTGCGATGGCCTCATCCTCAGCTGTGTCTCCATCGCAGAAAAGGGACCAGCTGATGTGAGTGACAGGAACTTTTTGAAGACAGATGGATGGGAAATTGTGTTTACTGTGATAACAAAGCATGACCATGTCTTGGCTCCATGCTGTCTGTTTGGTTATCAAGATTTTATTTGTCCTTTATCTGTTTTAGGCAAAAGAGCTGGAAAGTCTCATTCTAGAGACCAAGAGCTCAGACAGCAAGGTAGTTATTCTACTTATCTCCTCCTTCAGTGCCCTCAGTTAGTGCCTACTTGACAATTACTTAAAAAAAAAAAATTAATATCCTATTTAAATCTGAAACCCATCTAATCCTCATTACACCATTCCTGTTTTTCTAGATCAAAGCCTACCTACTGTGCAGTAAGCTGCGGCCAGCGTACTTGCTGGCGGTCAAGCTGGAGCCGAGCCGGGCGGGACCTCTGGTCCAGGATGTCCTTCAGGCTGCCGAGGAAGCACAGGACTCAGTGATGCAGAACATCTGTCGCCAGTGGCTGTCTGAGCATCGCAACAAGCCACCTCAGCAGCGCCAGGGCCGACCCAATGCCAGGTGAAAGCAGTCAGCCTAACGAAGGATTATAGAGACAGCACTCAAAAAAAAACAAACAGATGAGCTGCAAATAAGAGGATCCAGGGTTTCTAATGTTCTAGAAGTGTTTGGGGAGGTGAATGAACAGTAAGATCTCAGATTAATATGACTGCACCCTGTCTGGAACAGGTGAGCAGCTGTTGCACATACTGCATGTTGTGTGGTCCTCGCCGTGGATTATAATCGATACAGTACATGTCAACAGATTATTAAAATCCCAGAAAAAACCTTTTTGAGAGAGAGGAGACAATGTCCTTGTAGTTGATCTTAGGCTCTGGTTGCGTCATACTAACACTTTAGCATACACTGTGTAGCTATCATATAGTCTTGCATTAGGATTGTGTAGTTTCCCTTTTATAAAAGTAAGATCACTCTCATATTTAAACATTTTGTATTGTATGGTCTGTGGAATAAATGATTTTCATCTCATGATAGCTGGCACTGTATTGCCAGGTTCATTTAGGTTCATTTTCTTTTGGTTATGCCTGCTGTATACAAGGGACCTCTTACCAGCCAGTGTTACTTCAGCAGTACTTTTTTCATATTATTTGTAAAATGTGCTAGATGTGGCTTTATGTTTAGCTGTATTTAGGTTTGAATCACTGGCCTAATCCTTGTGTACCATCACCAGACAGTGTATGCTGAGGAGCTAGCATGGGACACTGGAGTTGGAATGAATGATTTAGGTGTCTGTGCTCACTAAACTGTCAGTTAATTAGAAAACTCAAATGTTACTGTAAATCTCGTCTTTGCTGAGCCCCAGTGGTTAAAATTCTCCCCTTGCTGCAGTGGTGCATAGGTGTATTCCAGGTGCCCGTGACATCCCAGTGCACACCTCTAACTACCCCCAACCACACTCGTCACTGATACTGTGTGTGAGGTTGGAGAAGAAGCAGAGAAGTAACTTTCAATCAGAGGGGGCAGTAATACACAGATTTCCAGCCTGGTTTTAAATGTCTCAGTGGAAACATCTAGAAACCCTGATGATCACTTTCTGTTTGTTTATTTTCAGTGTCCTTCCTCTCTGTAAAACAAACGAATCACCACAGTGCTTTATTTACATTCTGGAAATATTTTGCTTTTATCTCATCTCCACAATATTTGAGCAGTAGCACTGCACCAGAATGACAGCAGCTCTTTCATAACACAACTGCTAACTGCAGTGTAATAGTTTTCATTTTCTTACACGATGCGATCATATCTAAATAGTAATTGATTTGTGTCCTACCTCAACTTAAAGGGAAAATACAGTATCTGTAACTGACTGGAAAGACCATGACAAATGGGTTACATATCGAGTTCCCCCCCATTTTTATGTCCTGATTGTCTCCGTGTGTGGATCTTGTTTTGCTCTAATGTGAATGTAATGATGTCCTCTGCCAAGAAAGATACGAGGTCAAACCTTAAACTGAAAAATGCAGAATTGTGTTTTTATACCCTCAGTGAAGCTGTTTCTCTGTTCGACCTGACATTGTATAACACATTTTCTGGCATTGAGATCTTTACAAAAAACAAGCTTGGGGATGGATACAGAAAGGGACCCACTTGTGGATCATGAAATAGATGTTTAATTAATTATGCAGGAAATCAATTCTCTAGTCCTCAGTTCTGTCTCTGGGTGGTGGGTTTTTATATCTCATGTGTCATGTTTTTGTAATGATTGTCGCTCATTTCAATTCATAGTTTTTGCTTTATTCTCATGGTTGACATGACCCTTATCCATTTGAACCTTATAAATCTGAAATGATCAACTTGCACAGATAATACAAATAAATACTCTTTCAAAAAAGGGATTTAACTGTGGCTATATGTCATGGTTTCATTTAGCTTTTTCACAAACTGACAACTTGGCTAAAACAGGAAAACAGTGCAAAAGATTTGTCACCATGAAACATGTCTTTTAGTTTATTTGCATGACAATCACCCATGTTGCTGAAGTCGCCTTTTCAGGAAGGTGTATTTCAGAGCTTTTCTGATCAAATGGTAGAGCTACATCTTAATTTAGAGGAGAAAGTGTGTTGTCCCTTTGCGTTGTTTCCCTCTGCTGCACTAGTCTGAACCCTCAGATGGGCAGACCTTCCTGTGATTGTGAATGAGTGTTCACTGGCAAGAGATTAAAAGAAACCAGTCTAAACTTGAGATGCACATGTACAAGATTCTTGCACTCTAATCCTCCTTAACTTGGAGTGTTGGCTCATCACTGCCGCACTTTATATTAGTGAGTTTAAAAAAAATAAACTTCTTTGGGGAAAAACTTGTAAAATATGTAATAAAATAACTGTTAATGATGTAGGCACTAATGATTTTGAAGTGTAATTGATTTCTCCATCCCTTGTAAAATAATATGAAAATGAAATAAAAACATAACAGAAAACATATGGAGTTTGAACTTTATACTGTTCAGTTTCTTGAAATTAAAGGAACAGTTCAGCGTTTTGGGATATATGCTAATTTGTCAGTGGTTACATGAAAAGATTTGTCTGTTGACTAAACACAAAGCTACTCCTGACTTAGCTAAGGACTGGAAATGTGGGGAAACAGCTAGCCTGGCTCTGTCTAGATATCAAAATCCCACTACCACCAGCTCTAAAACTCACTGATTAAAGTGTTAAATCTTGTTTAATATGTTCATAAACCAGTGGTGCAAAACTGAAAAGTCACCATTTTCATGGAGTCGCTGCTCACTGCCAGGCAAAGGGTGAAACAGCAGTCCATCACAAACCCCCATAAAATTATTCTGCTATATTCAGTTTTGTACATATTAAACTAACAAAAGTGGTCATAGCGAGATTTTTTTTTTTTTAAACTTCAGTCTTTAGCTTAGTGCAGTCTTTGCACTAAGCTAGGTTAGCTAGTTACTAGCCATAGCTTCCTAATTAGCATACAGATATGAGTGTTCTTCTAACTTAACTCATGAAAGAAAACAAATTAGCACATTTCCCAAAATGTGAAACTTTTTTTTTTCATTTTATTCTCAATAACAAATCTGAGTCATTTTGTTCTGTGAACATGGTTCAACTTTATTGAGAATTTCTTGACTTAAGATGATCCATTACTCTGTGTTTGTGTACTAATCCAGTTTTATACTCAGCTTTTGGATGATGGCATCAAAGGATCGATACAAGCACCCTTCATAGTAACATTTCTATTTATTTACATCAAATGTAAACATTCAACTCTTAATGTGAACATTAAGTGTAGGAAAAGGCATGTTTAACTTGTATAAACCACAGAATGTAAGCTCTTTGCAAACATGAGTGGAGAGATCCATACAAATGTAAAACTGTAATTCCTCTGGGAATGTGCAGTTTTTGGCAATGCTAATGGAAAAAATTCTCTGCAGATGTTGCAGTAACGTTATTCTAACTGATTTGGCTAAAATAAAGTTTCTTATAACCTGGACGTACTACAATCATCACAATATACATTTCTGTGCCACGTCCACGTGGTGAATGTGGCACAGACTTAGGCTGATCTTTGATTTATTACAGTTTATTACATTTATAATGAACATGGAATCATTGTAAGAACCCCTGCAATTATATAGAAAGCTGGCACAAAAGTCAAGCGTTTTACCTGCAAATTCTGCCACAGTCAAAAATCAATATTTGATAAAGATGCTGGTCTTTTACCCTGGTTGACCCTTCACAGTATCCTACGTCATTACAGCAAGCTGCTTTTTTTGTGTACAACTTGTTCACATTGTGTCAAGAGGATAAAGAAGAGTTATTTGTGATTCGATGATAATACAGTTGGTTTTGCTTTGTGGTGTTGATGCAGAGCATCAAAATACTTGTCATTAAAATATAATTATATTATTACACAAAGCAACTTCACATTATAGTACTGTACCTTTTATGTAATTACCTGAATACAAAGTACAGAACATCAAAACCATAATGAAACAAATGATAACCGAGGGGATGAGGACCCCTTAGAGAGCCGAGATGGATAGTGACAAAAAGTTTAATTAGTCCCATTCAGTACCCAGAAGCTGACAGCTGACTTCCCACAGCCTCCTTGCCGTCTCCTCACTTCTTCCCTGTGGGGCTACAAAGGCAGGGGCGCAGTCACTGAAATTAAAGGAGGGGTAATGATTATTATGTAAGGGTTAGTGATGGTGTGACTCATCTTGCTGGGTGCAGTGATCTAATTTCTCTCTCTCCCTGTGCATGATAATACATTTTAGCATCATAATTTTTTAAGGAGGAGCTGTTTTTGCTTGATGTTACAAACATAAAAAGTAGAAAGTGAGAGGATAGCTGTGCTTATAAGGCAGTATAATCAATTCCCAATGAGAAGAGCAAAAGGGGAATTTGCACTGAGAACCAATTTTAGCTTTCTATTTATATGATTATTTTAAGAACATATCCAGATCTTTTCACACTTGTAGCCTGTCACCTACCTGAAGTGTTTCCCAGAGATGGAGTGCAGCTCCTCTGCCACAGCACAGTAGACACTGGTTTGTGCTCCTTCCCGTGGGGTTTTAAGGAACATGGAGAAGACGGTGAATATTATTGTCATGATAGTCGAGTGTCTAGCCAGGTCAGAGTTCACCGACCCTGGGTGGACTGAGTTCACTGTCACATTGGTACCTGAGAGCACAACATACAGTACAGCACTTATATTATTATGGGAGACACTTGTTCCTCTGTCTAATCTGCAATATCAGGTTGATTATTTGAAAAAAACTGACACTTGGTATAAATAACATGAAACTGAGCAGAGGTCAAAGCACTTTTATGCTAAATTTGTTTCTTAAAGAACTTGAATCCAATTTCATTACTTGACATTAATATATATATATATAAGCTTTTGTGCTCTACATGGTCATCTTACCAAAGAGAATTGCTGGTTAAGATGAGTTGCTGTTTGTCAGTATTGTTTCTATTTGTCACTGCTTTTCTAGGCACAATACGCCACAGTTACTACCTTATAGAGCAGATCATCTGTCCATTCTCCCATGTTGTGTGCATTTGTGTACCTTTGAGTCTTTGGGCCAGCTCTCTGACAAAAAGAACATTTGCCAGTTTGCTTTGGCAGTATGCTAATCCGCTGTTGTAGCTGCCCAGGCTCTGAAGGTCATGGAAGCGGATCCAGCCGAAGACGTGTGCCAGAGAGGAGAGCACCACAATTCGAGCGGGTGCGCTGCGTTTGAGAAGCCCGATCAGGAGGGACGTCAGCAGGA